CAATCTATGCAAAACCCATGTTTGTGAACGTCACGTTCAGGTGTACCTCGAGGAACTCGCATGTACGACCCTTATATCTAACAATCTATCGAAAGGGGGCACGCGTTGCCATCTGCTCGACACGTTTCCCCGTAGGGTCATACGCAGGCTGCACTTGTAGCTGGAACCAGCGAGTCCTCCGAATGTGAATACGAATCAAAATCGTGTATAACTCAGAAAGAGCATATAAAAATAACTTTTTTATCCGCACGAATATAGGGCATATAAATATGGTCTCCTTAACGCGTCATCCAGCAGCCAAGTCGAGGGAGTGGGGTTAGAGAATCGGCTAACATGCTTTCCCTAGCAAAGTAAAATCATTACGTGCACGTACGCTTTAAACGTGATAAACAGAGTTCAACAAACACGAAATACTGATAGATAGGCAATATAGACGAACACAAACAATTAACAAAGTCATTATTGGGACGAAACGCTATAGATTATCCTGTATGCGATTTACAAATCATTTTGTCTGTTTACGCTCGATGCTTGAGTCGACAATGTAGAAAAGTGTTCGCAAAAAGTAAGAGCATCTCAGTATGCATATCAAAAAAGAGAAAACCAGGCAAAGGCGGAGTGATTAATTAGTCTTTTACCTATGCTCCACGTACTCGACAGTATTAATTAAAGAAGTGTCAAGCGTAGCATTGCAAAACGCCAGTGCATTTTATTTTATTAATTACTGTTATACATTGACAGGTCTTATTGCCGCATACTTCGCCGAACGTTACAGGTTCATCGTACCGCTTTCTATATGTCTGTCTTTAGATTTTGGTCCGTCTGTGGCCTTTTTTGTGACTCCTAACAACAAACGGTCCCTGAAATCTTCCACAGTTTCAGCTTCGTTCATTGATTGATACACGGTTGCTGATCATTCCTCTTTATGTCTATGATAATATACTGCCGCGTCGGGCAACGACACATATATCGCGTTTTTCTATCAGTGTTTGACACCATTGTGCTTTTGCACTTCACCGAAGTCTCAAGAGAGGCTGGTGGAGAGCAACCTGTATCGCCGTAATTAACACACAGACGAATTGTGTTAATTAGATAGCACAAAAGCTTCTATCAAGCGCAGTCCGATGTCGTTCAGCGCAGCGTTTACTTTGCCAGTACCAAGCCGGATGATGATCCTCGTGATAATTTGCAAGGCATATATGTGCATGCATATATATATATCTGTATAGTTATTGGTGGTACTATACAACGCACATAACGTGAGCAGTCCAAAGAAAAAGGAGGCAAATTCATTGAATAGACTTTCTCAGTAGTGACGGACGTTCGATGGTTTCAGCGAAATAGTTCTGAGTCGGCCTTCGGTACGGGTTACCGTCCATACGGAAGTATACGAACATCATTAGCTTGTGCTCTCGAACGAGCGAACCCATTCGGCAGTTTTCGCGGTGACGGCTGGCGGCCGCTTCTGTCCTATTTCATCTTTTGCCTGCCTTAGTCCTTCTTTCAAAGGAGATCTCTTTTATAGATCCGATGAAAATGTATTAGGGCTACTAGCTTCCTGCTCTACCACCATCGCAAAAATGCTTTCAAATCTTTTTTTTCTAGCATTTTTTTACCCTACTTCACAGACAGAAGGCCGTTCTAGCTTTTGTTTGGGCGTATCACGAACTTCATCAGAAAATCGATTTTTTTCTCATTACCTTAATCAATGAAATTTGTAGAATTACCAAAAACTAGCCGATACTTTATAGTTATTCTTTTAATGCATATAGTACATTCTGCAAGGCCTGCCATGATGCGTGTTCTGACCAAACGTAACGTATTTTTTATTAGACAGGTGATAGGAAGCGTCTAAATAGAACAATATTCGCATGTCGCTTGTAACAGACAGTCTCTGGGCTGTCTGTCGTGCCCTGTCGATTTGCCATTCCGTCACTTTATTATTTATATGTCATGCTGTTATTTCGCCAATATTTTTGGTGAGCCGGACTGGACTGATTTATTTTGAAATGACCTATTTGCTCGAAAATGATGGTGGGTAAAAAATTTCAAATGAAACTTTAAAGACATAAACTAAAATTTCGAAGCGTCTGCTAAAAAAAGACTAGATCATAAAAACATTAGATGAGGATGCCCAAAGGTGAGGCTTTGGTATATTGTATTTTGCGTATTCTTTATAAAGTAACATCACAAAATACATCAAATGGATTGCCACCTATCATTTGTCATAAACAAAAAGCATGCTTAGTTTTGATTAACCCTTTGGGTTTCACATACAGATCGACGATTTTTCGCGCAATTAATGAACAAAGTAGGGTACTTGACCCTAATGGGAATCACCTGTTGTGGAGCTTTTTCTATTCTTAAAGTTTACCATTAAAGAATGTAGACCATGAAATATTGACTGCAGAATATCTACAGTCTAACGTGGGCGTTTCATAAAAGGCTACCCAAAAATTTTGCACTCTATAGGATTTATCCGCAAAGTTTCATTGGGGTTTAGCATGGATTATTGATGCAAGCAGAAAACACAAAAAAAAGCTTTGAGTAGTTTAATACGACATTGTTCGTGAGAAGTGTCAGAAAAATCAAAGGGGAAGGTATAAAACATACGGTAAATGCTTACCACATCTTTACTTTTTGATCGATCATACAGGCGTGTTTCTAAGCTTACTAACTGGTACTAAGTCATTGTTTGCAAAACTTCAATCACTGAATACCGCACGTTGAACAAAGGTGGTACGTAGTTTTCTCAAGTTACAATTTCACATTCTCGTGATGGGAATCTACTGAATATTTTAGTCAAGCGTCCTTTATTAGATAAGGAAACACGAAGTTTGTACATGGGATCTCTGACAGCAGGATTTACTCATAACCTATATTGGCTTAGTTCATTTTCGATCTAAAGTAAGTAATTCTATCTAAATAATTATAATCACAGTAATTTCCGTAGTTTTCGATAGTGGAAACTGAATTTTGATATATAACGACCGCAGGAAGCCCAGGAGAAGTGAAAATATTTACTCAGATCAAACGCGAAAGCCAAACTGATGAGCGGCACTTACCCTGCTTCTCATCAAGGTACAATGTCAATATGCGTATTGTCATTGCCATAATGGAACATTGAACTCTACAATCAGTAACAACGTATATCCTGAATAGCCATCTCGGACTCATCTTCGTCCAGTAGCGCTTGAATAATTAGACAGATAAAATATGCGTTCCTTCAACTTGAATTTATTTAAAGTATTTCCTTATGGTTCCGTGTTTTCATTTCAATTCAAATTCGGAGCCAACGACAGCGAATGGACCTATTTTGGCAAGCTCAGCCGTTCCGAGCAACTCGCTGGATAAGAGGACCACAAAAGGTGGCAAGCTCCCGATTTCGAAACGAGGTTTAGGCAGAAAAGGTTTAAAATAAGGAACGACAAGAGCTAAGCCACACGGCAAGGTGTTGAAAGAAAAGGCGCCTTCTTGGTATCACTCTCAGAGGACAGAATCGTTACATTCGACGGTACAGACACCGCAGCCGCACTGAACGACGGGCAAGAAGACAAGCAGTGAATTACTGTTGACCGTGGAGGTATCCAAATGGCCCCAAATGCGGGGTGGTAAAATCTAAGCCCGCGGTTGCTACCATTCTAGGGAAAATCATGCGTTGAGGAGCCGGTCAACGCCGTTTGTCAGGATCTAGCCGGCGTACTTAGTGGAAAGATTCAAGGTTCGAAGTTCCTTCGTGCGGATGGCTTCTAGAAGTGTTGAACGCCTCGAAGATTGCCAGGCTTTTTGATTTAGAATTCGTCACGGTTAAGACAAAGCAGAATGTCTCGTATTTTGATTAACATTGAGACCAGCGAGATGTGTAGTAACTGAGATGTACCGACCGCCCGTTCGTGATACCCCGCACAGGCGTTGGTATTTCCATAGATCAGGTAATACGGGCGTTCAAGAAAAAAAATTTCTGGAATTAGTAGTCCTTTATATAAGTTTTTTAGAGCTACGAATCGTACGAACTCACGTAGTGGTTCTCCACTATAAGCTACGATCGCGCCTCATATACTACAGCTTAACTTATGTACAGGTTTAGTACGCTTACGAAAGCCGTCAGAGTAAACGTTGTGGTGAGGCTTCGGACGTGTAAATAAGCTGCAACACAGGCCAAGTGCTCGAACTGCGGTGGTGATCAGAGAGCTGAAAAAGGCTTGTACCCTTTATGGCTACAGAAACTGAAGCTTTTCAGAAAAGTTCCCTGGAAAGGCGCTCACAAGGATCTGTACACGGGATGCCTGTTAATAGCAGCAATCATGTGTATGCTTAGCGTTATTTTGTCGATCGGCAAAGATGAGACTGCCACGAACATATTCATTTCGTAGTCCTCGATGCTGAAAACGTAATTTGAATATATTACGATCCCAGGAGGCACAAGTAAGTAACAAAAGTTGCTTCAATCAAACGCAAAAGCGATGATTAGTGTACTTTAATTAAGAATTTGAAAATGCCCCGTGTATTTCCGTGTGCGTTATTAAAAAGGCAAGCCTTCTGAGTTCTTCATGAATATCTAACACAAGTACTACGTATGTATATTATATACGTATAATCATCAGTATGGAGTAACATCGACATCTACGATCTTCGAATAAAGGCGCGTGCAGTGAGTTCCTTTAAGCAACAGGACTTACCATGGAAAGCCAATTGGCTAAGCCAAACAGTTAATCTTAGCTTCAGGCGCATATGATTTAGACCCGTTGACGCAGGACAAGAAATACATATATATGCTTTTCATCAATAAATATATAGACCAAGCCGGGGTAATTTAATTCTAGCTTAATTGTTTAAATTTTTTCTATAAAATTCTCTAACAACGTTTTTGGTTTGATGGTAGTCGTGTATCTAAACAATATATAGAAGTAATTTTTTTCACATTTAAATAATTTATTTAAATTATTTGTTGAGTTATTGGCCGGTTATCTATAGAGTGTAATTATTTAAGAGACGGTTTGCGAAATCTCATTATTCGAATTGTCAGTGTTAAACAAATGACAGCATAGAGTGGCAAAGACCACTTGAACTTAATGTCACAGGACGAAACGATCAGGTAAGATTGTTGCTGAGTCGCAGACGAAAATTAGCTTCATAGGTGTGTATTGGCGCAGACTGTTCGGTGGGAATCGTCTGCTATCGCGCTACCCTTCACTAGGACACCGGTCGACACCTGAACAGGAGACTGTATGGTACTGCACTTTGTATAATGCTTTGTTCTGTACCTAATACGGAATAAACAAATATAGGTGGTTGAAAGAGGATTCATTAGATCCAAACACGAAAGGGCCGTTAACATATTCTGGGCCGTCAGTCTTTGTAGGAACGGTGTGATTTCGGAATCCTTTCTGAATTCGCGTTCACGGACAGATTTGTCCTAACTGAAATATGAATCGGCCTTGTTAGTTTCAACTCAAGTAAATGATGTGTTCGTTTATGGACATAAGTCGGGTTACCACATCGGTTCATCTTTAGTAGACTGATTCCAAACATTCTCTAATAAAT